TCACGTTCTCTCTCTCTCTTTGGGCACAGCAGCACTTTATAGTGAAATTTTAGAAAAATTTTCGATTTCAAAAAGGAATGATATAAATGTAAAAGTTCCCTGCATCCCAGGGTAGAAAGTATCTTAGCTCTTCATTTGTGATGCTCAGTTCCCTTCTGTTTATTTCCTCTGTGTGTGTGTGTGTGTGGGGGGGTGTCTCTCAAATTTGCTTTCTGATTTTTTTCCCCTATGCTTCCAAAAGGAACTTAGAACCTCTGGCCCTCCACTGTTTGGTTATTTAGGGGAGAAATATTAGTCTATTTCTTTTTTATTCATTTCCACTTTGGAGAAACGGAAAAAATATTATTTAATTCTCTCTCTCCGTGCATTTCCAAGAACATTACCTGCGCTGTAGCCAGTGTATGCCCTAGCCAGTGTGGGCGGAAACGGCGTGCCATCCCCAATAACAGACATTTTCAGGCTAGCGAACAGAACAGAACGCGAAGAACCACCTTCAAGACCTCTGCAGGCACAAGCAGGCCAAGGGAAAACCGGCTTTGCGCAGAGCGGAGAACGATATTCCTTGTTCCTGGAGCTCTGTTTCGGTGCTAACCGGCATGCTCTTCAGCGCCTTTCTTCTGGGGTCTGGGGAGTCGGGAACCAGGCAGGTGCCGGGAGGCAACGCGCCCCCCACCTGAGAGTTCCCGGGGAGGAGAGGCACCAGTCCAGCGTTTGAAGTCCCTGGACCGGCTGGCGGAATCCTTCTCCCCATCCCTACTCTCCACCCCATCCCTAGGCAGCTCCTCCCCGGGTGGCCTTGGTCGAGATTTCCCTTATTCTCTTTGACCCGGAGCTAGTTGGCTGTTTGCGTTCCGGTGTGGCTCAGTTCTCCCCATACATTCCCTTGCAGGTAGCCGCTTCTAATTTAGTTCTTTATAAGATTTCTTATTATTATTTTAAAGTGTGGGGGACCAGCAGTTAGCGTAATGGCTATGTCGCTGAACTCCATGTAGTCGACCGCGGTTCGAATCCCTGACCCAGTGGCTTAAACTCATGCCTGGTTCGCGTGCGTGCATGCCCAAGATCCCGAGAGGAGAATGGAGGAGAAGGGCTTGTGGTGTGGTCATCCCCCCTGGGGAGTGATTTCTCGCTTTCAGTCTGTCTCTGTCTTTCTGGCAAGCGCACGCGTCCTATAGCAAAAAACAAAAACAAAACAAACAACAAAAAACAACCTCTCCAAAAATAATAATAATAATAAAGTGTGGTGTGACGAGATCTTCGCAAAACTGGGAGGCGGGGGCGGCGATATAAACTGGAATGTAAAGCGCGTAGCCTGCTTGGTGTTTTTAAGAAGTAAGAAGAGGAAAAGACTGCGGTTTGAACCACCCGGCTCCCGGGCACAGCGCACAGCAAGAGCCAAGGCAGGCTGAGCCAACCGCCCCTGGAGCAGGGCTGAGCTGGTAGGCCCAGGTGCGGTCCCGGTCCGGAGGATCCTGGGATCCCGACCCCGCGACCCAGGCGGAAGGTGGGTGGGTACCTCGGCTACTGCTCGCGGTTAAGCCCAGGCCCGGGTGCCTCCGGAAATGTCGCCTGTATTTTCTGCCTTTGGTTACTTCTCAGCAGAAGCAAAACGCGCACCTGCGGGACCCCTGTCGTACTTTCACCTCCTTGCTTAGGTTTCTTCTGGAAACCCTGAAATGCTTGGGTCCCAGAAATACCACTGCCTGTTACACATTTCGTTTCACATCCAAATAACTCCTGAAACAGTCCAACCAAAAATCAGAGCGACCCAGGGGACGTGTTGCTCCAAGGGGCCTTGTGCAGAGCCCCTGGCTATCCTGCAGCCTGAAGTGTGGGGTGCTGCGTTCACAACTCAGTCAGGGAAAGGCCAAAGACCACTCATCAGAAAGCCTCCCCACCGCCAGCCGCAGGAAAGGCACCCACTTCATGCCCCCTCTTTGACTCACGCGTTAGGCACTGAGCTTGCCTCTCCTTCCTTTCTCGCCTTGGGAGACTTGGGTCATGTCCCCAGGCCGCTCGGAGGCCCTCAGATCAGCCCTCATGCCGCAGTCGAACGAGGCAAGTCCCGGGTTCGTGCGGGCGCTCTCATCTCGGAGACTGCGGCGTCCCTGGAAGTCGCTCTTCGCTTTGTCGCTCGCTGAGCTCAGGGCGCGCACAGCTCCTGGGCCAAATCAGGGCAAAATGCAGACCCCGTGAGCCCTTCACCTCTGCGCGCTCGGCGATCACCAGTAGCCTCCCCGGGCCATGGAGACCGCCACGCCGCATACCCGGGAGGTTGGGCGGGAGAGACGTTTCTATTTCTTCTGCAATCCCACCCTTGGGCCACCTCGCCCCTAATCCGGCTCGCTGCGCGGGACCGTCGGAGCCTGACCGGGGGCCGACAGGGGGCGACAAACTGTAAGACTTTTCCCCGATGCCGCGCCGTACAGGGGGCGGCCGCGAGCGTTGTGTGGTCCCGACCGCGAGCAGCTGACTGCTGTGGAGCCCACGAGGGTGAGGCGAGGCCCCGCGGGATCCGCTACCCCTGGGAGCCCGCGGTCCCCATCCCTGACTCTCTCCTGAACCCTATTCCCAGCTGTGGGAGACCTTGGGGGAGAGCAGGAGAGTGTCACCTGGGAGTCCTTCCTGGCCAGCGCCCCCGAAACGTGCTGGCTAGGTGAAGTGGAAGTTCCCTGACCGGTGGGTGGGGGGACCTGCTCTCATGGCGGCACAGCTGGCTTTATTCTCTTTTATTTTTGAGTGCACCTGGCGGCTCCACATCTATAGCGGGGGAAATGGCTGTAGTTACTTTACCGGATCAAGGAGACCCATAGGGGATGAGGCACAGATCCTGTATTTCTCGTATCTCCCAGACCCAAGGTCCAGAAATCAATCTTTCTTGGTATCTCACTCCCGACTTGAAATTTGGGCACAGCAGCTTAGATCAGAGGCTGGCAGGCTCCAGAACACTGGAGATAACTGAGTGGGACATGACCCCACTCCGGGCAGCTTCGGAGCTTCAGTTCCGCTGGCATCGCGCATGCTCAGCGCTCTGCTCCTTGCAGTGCTCCTGGTACCACGGAGCCCACCTGGATCCTAACCATTCCTCTTTCAGTCCTTACACTACCGCTGTGCTATCTGGAATGAGCCTGATCTTTCCAATGGAGTCCCCATTCCTCACTACCTCACTCTCTGGCCAGTACACCCCAAAGCTTTCCCTGCCCCAGTCCCCTCCAAGCTGTTCTCCAAGCCAGAGGCTGCACTGTGTTCTCCGTGCTGCCAGAGAGCAAGAGCCTCATTTCTTTTGAACCTGTTATTCCCCCTTCCCCAAGGTAATGTTTGCCAGTGACCCCCAGCCCCAGCCCTGCAGGGCTCAGTACACACCCTTCAGAGAGAGCCCAGGATTGAGGGAGGGCTCAGGGTCCCTAGATGACACTTCCATACAGGCTGATCAAGAGCTTGGGATGCTGTCTGGCAGGCAGGGAAGGAGAAGGTGTCAGGACCTCTGTCTGTCTCCCCAGGCTCTGCTAATCAACCCCTCAGAGCCTCCTGGCCTCCTGGCCCGTGTAGTGCAGAGCTCACAGCTCTCAGGCAGGGGGCTTTTCTGGTCTCTGGAGGAGCCCCAGGAATCTTAGCTGTTCCTACTCTCCTTCCTACTCCTCCTCCCTCTTGCTCTCCTGCCAAGTTCAGCCCAATGCCCTTGACACTTACTGGCCCCTAGGGCCAAACCCCCTGGTGGTGGCCTCCTCAAGTTAGTTTGGTGCAAAGTCGGGAGCCCTCCCCTCACCTGCTCTCTCCTGGCTCTCCTGGATCACTCGTGGGTGGTTGTGGTTAGAGACTGGCCTGGGTGTCCAGGACTCTTCCAGGATGGTGCTGGTTAACTTTTAGGCCAGGACCAAGGGCTTGAAGGTCTTGCGACTCCCCTACCACACACACCTTAGAAGGAGCAAGGACCATTCTGTGGTGTTACAGAGACCTTCTGGAGGCAAGGGTGCCGCAGGGGCTGCAGGATGGCTAGGTCAGGCTGTCTGTGAATGAGTGGTGCCAGATGCCACAGGAACCTGGGGCTTGCGGAAGGGGGACTTGGGTCTGCAGGCCTGGAGCTGGGCCTATGCATATTGCCTCCAGAGGACCTCTAGGACACACTTGAGGTCACAGGACACCGAATCTGTGCTCCTGGAGACCACAAGTTGGAATCTCTTTTCTGCCAGTGCCATCTCTTGAAGACGAATGAGTCCTATGGGTAGGCCTGGCTGTAGGAGACCGGATCTGGAATGACCTCTCTGGGGTCACTGAAATCACCCCATTACTCTGAGGGAGTAGATGGCTATTGGTCATTGTAAGAGTCCCTGAGAGCAGGATTAGGGAGTCCACCAGAAACGGGAAAGGTGGGGGAAGCCGCACACTAGCCTCCTTGGGCCCTCCTGGACAGGCATGGTGCAGACACGTCCATGGCTTCCACCGAGTCCAGGTACTGATCTCACTCTTAAGGAGGGCCCTGCCCAGAAAAGGAGTGGAGCTGGATGCAGCCACACTGGAAAAACTTGCCACCATCAACTTTTATTCTCTGCGACCTTATTTGTAATGGTGGTGGATGTGGTAAGAAAACGAAAATCAAAACCCAAACTAGAGCTACCAGTAGTGATGCTTGTACTAATACTACTAATCAATTTGAAATGACTTTGCCATCATTCCCAATGCCAGAGGGGTAGGGGACAGCAAGGGGTTTGGGGCCGGTGGAGGGTCCCAGACCCAGCTCCATTTGGGGGTGTGTGTGTGTGTGTGTGTGTGTGTGTAAGGGGGGTGAGTTCCGGAGGGGGTGGAGGAGAGCCGAGGGGGGAAGGACGGAGGACAGGGTAGAGTTTCAGGGCGGGGAGGGGGGCGCCAGGGCGCAGTGACGGGAACCAATGAGCTGCCAACTCGCGCGTCTCCGGCGTGACTGCCGAGATTGACGTGGAGGACACGTCAAATTGATTCTCGCACGCTGCAGCCTCCCGGTCAGACGAATTTCTTCCAATCGGATGAAGTTCACCTTGGGCCTTGGGTCGCGGGCGTGGAGCGTGTCCTGGGAGCGCGCGGTAGCAGCGGCGGCAGGCCCTGGGGTGGGCGGCGGCGCGCTCGGCGGCCGCGCACAGCGCGTCTCCGG